CAGCAAGCTGTGTTGCAACATTCATGATTTGTTGAGTGTGGCGATTATATTTTTCTGGATTGGTTTGCTCAGTGTTATCCCTAATTAGGACAGTAATTCCATATTGCATATCTGTCTAGGGCAACTGTTCTGTTGCTAAGCTGTATGAAATTGAGAGCTTACACATTAAAGTACATAGATTTATCCACAGAGTTCCTCAGAATGTTTTGGAAAGTGAAGTACTGAGCTATATCAAGTGGCAAGATCTAGGATATTTATATAAACGTAGGCTTTCTATTGAGGTTTTTAAAGTTAAGCAGGGCTTTAACCATAGGTTACTGCCATTCTTCAATTTTACTGAATCAAAGCGCAGAGGTGTATTACTTGAGGTGAAACGGACGAAAACAGAGTTTGGAAGAAATAGCTTTTCACATAGAGGGACTGTGGTATGGAATTCACCGAACAGAGCGACAAGGAACTTGGAAAAGCAAGATGCTTTGAAAGCAGCACTGAACCGTAACAAAATTTGCCCCGGCAAAATCACTTTTAACAAAGGGACCACAACAATTCTTAATAAGGACATTAACTTTTTGTATTATTAAATGTAAATATTAACACCTCTCAAAATTCTGAATCTATCTATAATTAGTTGGTTATTGTAAATAGGTTTCTTCGTGTTATTGTAAGTAGTATTGTTAATGCTTTGTAAGTTTTAAAATAGTAGATTTTAGTATTTCCTAAGTAGGTCCACATCAGCTGTAAAAGTCGCCACTACTGACCTGCATAACTAAATAAACTATCTATGTATGTATGTAGATGAATGTCTGATTAAAATAAACTATGAACGATTTTGTGTATGTTTTCGATGCCTGGAGAAAGTGATCTTGTGGAGTCATTGTGTTTGGCCAAGGACGCATTCAGATACCATCGTTGAAATGTTTACTTGATTTTGTTATCTGGAATGAATGATTTACGGAGGTAAGTTAATATGATGTGATCTAATGACGTCGAAAATACATCGATTCGAAGGAACAGTTTTGGTCTCGGTCCACATTTCTGTCAACAAAATAAACACATACCGCGTAAAAAGATGATAATACGGACCACGTGCGAAGCTATCAATTGTTCTCGGATGTTGCGCGTGTTAAATATTCAATAGTGACATCTCGTTTACATCAAAATCTACATCTACTTTTATTACGTTGGTAAAATCTGTACAGACATCACGCCAACCAACTCGCGTGCAAGGTGAGAAGACTATATGAAGGCTTCAAATTATATTACGATCAATTTTCATCAAGAAATGGGCCAGGAATATTCCAAAATAGTGCAAATAACCGTGAAAAATCGTCACGCAATCGCTTTTCCGCTGAGCCCGGAAAAGCGATTGCGTGATGCTCGGTAAGTTGGAGGATGACATGTTATTACATGCCAGACGAAAAAACTCTTTAGATTCTCAGTCTGCATTTTGTACCCACTCTGCAGTCTGCAGTCTACATTCTGTATCTAGTCTACATTTTGTATCCGGTCTGCAGTCTTCATTTTGCACTCACAGGTATCCGTGGCACCAATACAGTTTATTTTTGGTTACAGTTATTCGCACAACACACACAATCTACCACAAAATACCTGTGTGTAGGTTAATTCGACATTTTCGTTCTTTGCCGCATTAATACTCTTCTTTCCTTTCGTAAGAATGTAGGCATCACTTACAATGTTTCAAGTAATGCACCCACCCCCCAAAAAATAACTTTTGCATGCATAGCATGCCTATGTTTTTTACTTAAAGGTTCAATCGAGGCCCCCAATGACGATGTTGTCAACCATATTTTCAAGAATAATGGAAAAATTGTATGGAAAATCGCTCTTCGAAATACATTCATTTTCGTTAAAATGGGCGACTTATTATCTAATACGGGCAAATTTCTTGAAAGCTCCAAAGTGTCCGAATTGAATCTATTTCTAATCCAGAACTTGAAATTAATAGCCATTGTAGAAGCCATACCCAGTGAGTGGAGACTAAATGTTAAACGGTCGCAGGTTCAGCCCCAACATCTCCGCCCACCACAGCTAAGTGATACATTGTTTGTCTTTATTGATTAGGTTAAAACTAATCTGGCGCTCAAAACTACCCATAGAGAATTTCAAACATAAAAAAAACTCCCCCAACCTGTCTAGAAAAGCAGAAAAAAGAATCCCAAGCTTTTGGCAGACTGGAAAAAGATCTACTCTCTGGCACTTACTGTCACTGTTGAGACCAAAATAAGAGAGTTTCAATGCAAGTTATTAAATTGTATAATTCTCGCAATTGAGAGGCTATTTTAAAATGACTGAATCGCCTGTATGCACCTTTTTTCAGAAGGAAGTTGAATCCTTCGAGCATATCCTTTTTACTGAAATATATCAAAAGATTTTCGGGGGGCTCTCTCCTTTTTATTAATAAAATAAATAACATACATAAGGAAACTTTAACACTTGTAGTATAAATATTTCATCCGGTGTGTTTGTTAAAAGTTAAGACCATCTTAATCTGACCATTTGTTTCTTATGGGTAACTTTTTTATTCATAAATGTAAAATAAGTAAAATTAATCCAACATCATTATACATTTTGATCATGTATTGTAAGTAGATTACGTGTTTGTAAATAGCGTATCGTGTTGAACTATATTAACTCGTTCCCGAAACGATTGGATTTTGGATTTTGGTGACAACGAGTTCGACTCCTTCACTCTATCACATATTATAATAAAGTTCGGATATAACGCGTACTATCATTGGTTGAAGGAGCGTGCTCTATGAGGAGGGTCCCACTGGGGTTAACCGTTAGCCGTAAAACGGCCAAAGTATTTAGCCGTCAGACGTAAAAATTGACAAATTTTAACCGTTAGTCGTAAAAAAAGTTAACCGTAAAAAATATCTCTGGTGGAAACAATGGAAAGGTGTTAACCGTTAGCCGGAAATTGGCCAAAATTTTAACCGATAGCCGTAAAAGCCATCACCCCATTGAGACCCTCTATGAGAGTATAGAGCATAGAGCTGAGCTAAAGCTGTTACGCCATCTGACAAATTGTACCGACCTTTTCCGGGACTTCTTTCTAGCTTTTTTTTTGTTTATTGAAAGTGAAATTTCGGACGAGCCGGCAAGTGCAACAGAAGAACCAAACAAAGGTGTGTAAAAATGCCAAGCGCCATAATTTACGTTATTGTAACGTGAGCAGAGACAAAAAACCTCAAAGAGAAAACGAAATGGACATACCGAGTTCTAAAGGTTTTCACGCTCAGTTAGATTGCAAGCTTACGTACGGTAATAAAAATCAAACATAGCTAACACTCGTATAGTATATAAATTTTCATGTTCAAAAACAAAACAGAACAAAACAGGAATTATGAAAAATATAACCAAACTGGCATAACTGTTAAAATTCATACTAATCATGACGGTGTAAGAGCGACTGCGATCATGCTGAGATCCATCGCGGCTAGCTCATTGTGGCGATCTTCGGTCATCGCAGTGAAGTAAGCCTCAGGAACTACATCGACCGCCTTCGAGTGAAAAAATAAGAGCTTGCTCTGATATCCTTTCCGATGCGTTGAGTGGAAGGCCACATGAGTCACTGCAGCGGGGTTTTACGGCGCTGTCATCCCTAGCGATCTTCATGTTCCGGTGATTCATAAAACACTCGCCTTGAACAGTTTGTTTTCTACATGTCATGTGAAAAAACTTGCGTGTTTTTATAAGCCACAATTCGGCCGAATTTCATTGAAAATTTCACTTCTAGATTCTGTATTAGACACTAAAAAACTTCAGGCAAAAGTGTTAAGTTCGACCTGACGAACTATTTGAATTTGTAAACTATTACAGAATGTGAACTTGCTGGTTTTTGAACTTTCATAGATTGACATTTTAGGAAGCTTTAGTCTTGTACAGCCAATCAGATTATTTGAACCATTCTAGCAGAGATTCTGATTGGCTTATTATAGCGTGCTTTATGAGAGTATAGAACATGCTGACGACACTGTTTTTCTCTTAGGAATAAAGTTTCTTGGGGAGTTTAACGGATTCTTTATTACAAAACAAACAGAGGAGCCTTGACTGTGATCTGTTTTGTTGTAAAGCACTTAGGAAGCGGCTAAAGCACTCAAGAAGTCGGGGTAAACACTCGACTACGTCTCGTATTTCTCCCTATACTTCTTTCGTGCTCTAGCCGCTTCCTGTCTGCTTTTGACGGAACAGAGCACAATCAAGGCTTCTCTATTTGTTAATTTGTTACAATGCGACGATAATTACATTGAGACAGAAACTCTAACTACTTCGTAAGCTCGTTCACAAGAAATGAAGCTTGCTGGTATGGTAAGTTATCAACTGAAACATAATTCAACCGAAACTTTTTGTGCGATGCCTTTGGAACTAAGATAAGGTAAACTTGTTTTTATCACTTTGATTTGAGCTTCATGCACTTATCAACATTTTTGTTCACAAAAAGCACTGATATACATATCCTTTCCTTTTCATGCATATTCTTGTAGAGGCCATCAGAGGAACAATGGAGCAATTCTGTAGTGTTATGACTACGATCCGAAAAAGCACTTTTTATAGCATCTAACAGTACGAGACATGCAAACATTTTAATGGTTTGGCTACGTGCTGCTTGAGAAAATTCAATTAATCATTTGGCAAAGCTCGGCAAGCCTCTCTCTTCTTCAGCGTATTGTGCAATGCAGCTGAACAAGCAATCAACAAAAAATATTTCCAGCCACTTGTTTTGAGAAAAATACTTTTTAAATATTCTCTTAAGCTTATCGTCCACAACTGCGTAGGTCCATTTCAAGTGGATTCAGAAATACAGGCAATGTCATTTGGCACGAACCTCCGGGTATTGCGTCCAATAAACATTAGGCGAACTTCAATTAACAATTGTGTTATTTGTAAACTACCTCCCACATCCAAGCCGTCAGTTTTTTTCATCAAATCACATGGAAAGGAAAGTGCGTCATAAAGTTCTGACGTTTGAATTATGGTTGATTTAATCGCCCAAAAGGATATTAACGGAGATAAGGCGGAATTAAACTGAGGCAAAGCCAACCGAACAAAATAAATGTACAATATAAGAAAGGTTATAGAAAAATAATGCATTATCAATGTTGCCGGGTTGTGCTTTAGCTTTTGAAATTTATAAATTTCGTAGCCTTCTTTTTCTTTTCAATTGAAAGTATAGCTAAAATAAAAAAGAAACGGCGAGCCCTATCTTTTGGACCAAGTAAAATGTGATATTTCGAACTCATAAGATGCTTTGGTGTCAACTAACTAATTATAATAAAGCAGCTAAATATCATTGGAGAAATGAGCACATATTCGTTTGAGAACAAAATTTAAAATTCAAAAAGTGTTCCATGCAAAGTTCGGGCTGCACTTTAACCTTTTTTCGATTTTACCACAAACTGTACTAAAAAATTTTCCCCGCGATCTAATTCACGGTTTACATGAAAATTATGTTTTAAATTGATTTTAGATTTGTTCCTTTTCGCCTGTAAAAGGTAGTCCGATGAAAATAAAGTTTGATTTTATCTTTCCGCTGACCCGGCCGGAAATTCCGCTTTTTAGTTCTCTTTTGGGGATATGGAGATGACAAATTCTGAATAATCAATATTGTAGAGAAGCTACTTTCAACAAGATGGTATTAGCACAACTACAAGCAGTTTCCACTTTTTCTTAAATACTAGCAGAAATTAAAATCATGTTAAAGGCTTTTGCTTTTGAAAATGGAAACGGCGGCTTATTTGCAATCGTGACCGAGGCTTACAGTTTAATTAGTGGATGAACAATTTTAATATACATGTACAGTGCTACAAAATGAGTGTTATTATTCTTAGGATAAAAAAAAAATACCCTTTTTTATTAAAAAGAATTGGAAAGGTTTTTGAATTAGTGGCAGAAAAGACAATCCTTTTATTTTGAGTCAAGAAGGAGCAAGGAAATTTTTTCTTCATAAAGAGGAAAATACACTCTCGGCGCCTGAGGCTGAACCGGTGGCGGTCACAGTCATATCATCGGTTCGTCTTTGAATGCATTACGGTTAATTCTGTAACTGATTAAATTCATTGCTTTTGAAAATTCTCAGTTGTGGTAAACAATATAGGTTTTTGCCGGTTTTTCGAAACAGCACATTTACTCTTCCATCTACGATGAGGCGGGTCTGCACTATTGAGTTTTAACAAGTCCAGGCTTCACATGAGCTTAATGGTAAGCTAGAACCTCTTTCTTGTCGCACAGTCATTTAAAAGAAAATGGGCACATGAGGGGATATCCATATTCTCCTACTCTGAAAACAGCTATCATTTACTGTAACTAAATACAGTTCAAAGTGATAAAATTGTATGAGTGTGAATTCTGTACAGACATAAATAATTTTCAAGACAAGAATATTTAAGGTCAACTCAAAACCCGCTAGCTAACGGCAACATTTTATTGTTCTTATCAAACAATATTTGCGAACTCTGGCATGGAATGTCGAACGATTCAGATTTGAATATACAGCTTGGTTGATTTGTCTTGTTCATATGTATGTTCATAAGTATCGAGGGACACGACTTCTCATGTACTCTTGCATCTAGCCGTGGTGCTCTTAGCGCACGTTACATCTTGTTTTACATCCACTTTTAACAAAATCGACGAAAAATCCGATCCCAGTTGAAGAAAATGTCAACGAAAACTGGGGTAACCCCTATAACACTTGAAGAAAGGTTTCTTACTCATGCAATTTTCACAGTTTGACTCTCAGATTGCCGGTTAAGGGAAACCATGAGAAATACATGCTGCTACGAATTTTAAAGCAGGTAGGTCCTAATTAAGAACGCCACAATGTAAGCCAAATACAGGAAAGCGTTTTTTTTTTCAAGGACTTGTTTGCGCGTGTACCAGTAGCACAACGCACACTGTCGTATAGCAGGTTAATTTGAGATACTATCGAAGATGTTACAGTTTTCTCTTACCAAAGTTTTCGCCAAGTGCGACTTGAGCAACTCGTTTTTACAATGATGTTTATCAACTAGTTATTGAACAGAAGGACAGGATATTAAACTACATAGTGAAAATATCATTTTATACATTGATTTCCGGGAAATGAGCATGCTCAATCAATGATAGAGTGAGGTGATTTAGCCTCGAGCAGAAGCCACACATTAATATTGTATTTTGTTTGTAAGTTGCAGCTATGAACAATAGCAACATTTCAACACTAGGTGGTGTGCACGCCGTTACTCAGTGTACACTCGGGCTCATCTCAAAAAGCTTTGCGACAAAGCTGGCTTTGACCATCGTTTATGTTCTTGTGTTCGTTGTTGCCCTCTCTGGAAACTGCGCCATCATTTTGATAGCAAAGACAAAAAGACGCATTCGAAAAGTTGCCTTCAATTATTTCATCATCTCCATGGCAGTGGCTGACATAATGGATGCTTTGGTTGCTGTACCAATGACAGTCTTGAATATCTATATGTCCAACTACTGGTTTGAAGGATTAATTGGAGATATCACTTGTAAATTTTTCAACTTTCTCTTCAACATATCACTAGTAGCCTCCATTTTTACCCTTGTGGCTATCTCAGCGGATAGGTACTTGGCAATTGTGCACGTCATGAGGAAACCTCTCTCGAAAAAGAAGGTAAAACTGGGTGTGGTCTCAGTATGGTTCCTTACAGCAATCATGTCGCTACCCTATCTGATCAAATACAAATTTCGTCCATGGAAAAACGGGCAATATTTCTGTTATGGCACCTGGAGCGACGATTTCGGAAAAAATTTATATTTTTATAAGTATGAGGTGACGGCAAGACTTCTGTTCTTCTACATACTTCCTCTTTTTGTTATCGCTGTCTTGTATTCCTTCATTATCCAAGTCTTGAAGAAACGACAGGCCTTTGGGGAAAACATGTCACAGCTTCGCATTCAACAGCAGAACGTCACTGTAATTAAGATGTTGGTGACCGTCGTTCTTCTCTTTGCATTTTCGTGGCTTCCAGCCCATGTGGTGTCGATAATGTTCGCGTTCGCTCCAGAAAAGATCAAATGTTGGCCAATTTCTCTCCTGTATACACTTCTCGTGCCAGGACATGCAAATGGCGCCGTCAATCCTTGTATCTACCTCATCTTCAACGAGAATTATCGGAAGGGACTCAGGCGACTCCTCGTCAGATGTCAGAGAAAAGCGGGAGATCGGATTCCTACTTGGAAGATAAAACAGTGGCCAACATCATCGACTCTCGAGCGGGATCCAAGCCGAGGGGGCATAAAGGGCGTATTTCGTCAACTCTCTAAGGAAAAGAGCACTGAAACTGATGAAGTATTTGTAACGCGCCTATAAATCAAACACCGAATGTAAGGCACAGCATAAAATTACTTTTGCATCTCTTTAAGTTATCTTTCTGTTCTTCGCCTTCATTTTATTTGCAAGTTTAGTGGAATGATTTAAACTAATGTCAAGTAAGTTACGGTGACAATTATGAACGTGAAGTACTATTAGTTACTTGGTTTAAAAGTTATCTTTTTTGCTTGTGTTACGCTTGAATGCTATCTCTAAATTTTTTACGACTCTATAACTTCTGATAGAGTGTAAAGTTTGAAATGGACCTCCGTTCACATAAACTTTACAAGCTCAGAGGCTCTTTTGAAAGTTTGAAGTGACTTGAATATAACGGTATTTGATAATGACACTCCATTGTAGAGAACAGTGAGTTAAGTAAATGTACTATAAAAGATCAGGCGGATATGTTCTCTAACAGAGTAGAAGCAAATATTTTTATATTAAGCATTATATCTCTTTTAATTGGAAGGCAAATAATACGGGAAAAGAATGCTTTCTTTGTGCCGGATAGTTCTAATCAGCTGTGCATCAAAGTAAAGTATATTTCTGCTAAACGCTTTTGTTAATATGATAATGATAACTATTTGACCCATGGATTTGAAAATAACAAGAAAGATATTGAGAATAGCGATCACGATAAAGTTTATGACGATAACGACAACAAAGACGAAAATGACAACGACGACGATAGTGATGATGATGATGATGATGATATTATAAAAATTTGATCGTTATCAAGACAACGGTTAAGATCCAAGCGCTAATATAGGCCATATTGAAAGTGAAGGTTAAAATAATTATACTGAGCGAGCTAAAAGATACGAAGGAAAGAAATGATTTTAATTTTAGTAATCATGCAGACATCTGTTGCATACTTAATAACATTGTGGTAAATGGAACAAGTTACCAGGAGGATTCTAAGTCCATCAGAAACTTGATTTCAATTGAATGGTAAGCATATAATTTGAGACAAAATGTTTACGAATATATCTAGTCGACGAAGCCTTCATTTAGGCCTGAAATATCAATATGTAATATATGTACGGGTAAAGCTCACCAATCAAAGGACTCTTCCCATGTGGAAAAGGGCTCGAGACTATTTGGTGGTTGTCAGGTGGCCCCCTTATGACTTTGGCAAACGGATGACTGTATAATGAAGGCTGAGCATAATCCATAGACGCTCGGGTTTTCTTGGATACATGAAACGCAGTTAAATTTGCACATCAAAACTATTTGTCACTGTAGCTGTAGTAGGGCAGAAGAGCTAAGCGGAGCCTATTATACTCTGCTGTATTAATAGGTATGATAAATTACATGTGCTACGACATAATTATGTAAATAAAATATTCAATTTTATCCAGATCAGCCAGCGAAAAAGTATTTACACCGGTGTACGGCGAGATATTCTCTTGAGTACAGTAACTCTACCGCGCAAAACAGACGAATATAAAAGTAACAACCGTAATAGCAAGTTATGGCTGATGATTTAAAAAAAATCAAACTAATCCATGTCATGTCATCATTTCCACGCTGCAAAAGTCTCCATCCTATAAATTCCCTAAGCAGAGCATTTAAACAATATAAGTATTTACAAAACACCTGTTGCACAACTAATTATCACTACCTAGGCGCTGCTTACGTTAGTAGCTGCTTCAAAGTGCCCGTAATATCCTAAAGCGGCGGGATATGGACAAAATTGAAGTTTTGCACTCTTTGTTTAAAAGGTAGGACCACCGAAACTATACTTTACTTTTGCCCGAGTATGACTTGTGTCAGCAGCACACTGATCTTAAACTGATTTACAACCTCACAGCAGTATTGTGGCAAAAAAATTGTCAAAATCTGAAACCACAATTAAAATTCAAAACAGGGTGGCTTACTCATAGAGTAGCCGTCAGCTTGATCCAAAAAACTACGCTTGAGTTCACCACGTTAGCTTTACCCGCGACCCGCGACAATTTACCCGCGACCCGCGATCTGCGACCGGCCACAACATTAGATTCGCCGTGGCAGTTTTGTGATTGCCTTTGAGCAGTATTTTAATTCTACTGAGCATCGCAACAAATAAAAAGGCTAATTCATGTGTGGTCAGCATTACATATTACCACTAAATCATTGAAAAGCGCTTACATTTTTCTCGATCGGGATCCCGGATGTTAGCCGAACAACATTGATTTCTCTCTTACGTCAGCTGATCGTTTACTCCCGTTTTTCCTTGTCGGACGATACTGAGTGAGCGAAATACCTTAAGAGCTGACAAGAAAAACACGAAATTCGTATTAAGCGAAATAGAATCGGTATATTCTCCAAATAATAGCTGGGAAGAAAATTTTTCTTCACTTGCCAACCCGTAGGACTTTTCTATTGTTTAAGGTAAGCATAGTTGATATCTGAATAACGAGGACGCAAGTCAAAAGCCAACTTTTGTCAACATTCGGGACGCAGTTATTCCCAAGAAAATTGGATACGGAAGAACGACAATGTCTGTAATTCCATCGTACTCTTTTTTTTTTTTATAAAAAACGAACACACACCATCAACTACCAACAAAAGGTAAAGAATAACTATTCAGTGGGATTCATATCGCGTGTGCTACAAGCCTTAAGGAAGAACATCAATTCAGTAGTCGAGATTCCGAGCAAAACGTGGGGTTCAGAAAAAGGCCCTCCACGTTTAAACGTGTAGGATATGAAAATTTAACGGTCCATTTGCTTCTCCATCAAAAGTAATAATCAGTGCATAAAAGTAGGAACGTGAAAACGGCTCTTCTGTCGGTCTGCAAATGATTGCCACGTTACCAATGAGAGTGCAGATTTTCTCAGCATGGCGCTCGTATGCTAACGAGGATATTTGTTCAGTACCTCGTACAGTGCTTGACACTTTATTGTATCTACAAGCACCTGCATAAACTGCTGGTTTTATAGACCAATACAGGTTCTTCAACAGCCAATCAACCTTGTTTTTTGTGGATATGGTGTTTACCGCTTGTCACAGAAAAAAGGAAAACCTACTTTTCTTAAAAACGTGGGGTCGATTTGTTGACGTGAGCTGCTCTTTTTAGCGTTAATGGAAACAGCCAGGTCCATAAACCTCAATGAAACAATTTGCATACGTTTTGAGTTAGTGGGGTCCACTAGAGCGCTTCGTTGCTAGTTCTTCTTTCCTTTCTCATATCACCATTATTCAAGTTTAATTTAAATTATGATCGATTCATTTTTTCCTTTCCGGCTTATTGACGACTGGAAAAAAGTAGTTACGGGCTTCGCTCAGCTTTTCTAAATTCTTCTGATAAAAAACTGGTGTCAGCTCTAATTCAGTCTCGTTCATGATGTTATAGAGTTCAAGCGTACCTCGCGCAGAAGTTTCTGTCGGCATCAAATTTTTTCAAAGCGAGTGAAAAGCTTTGAAAATGACCCTCCTTGTCCAAGAAGAAAGAATTCTGTCACATACAATGGTCGCGATCGCCAAGATAATGAATTTTGTAAAATAAGGAAGAGAACTTTGAGTAAAGCAGCAATCTAGCTAAATGAAAGTAATAACCTCTTTATCTGTCAATCTTTAAGTTACTCCGGAAGAAAGTGAAAAGTCAGTTTTCAGTTGTAAAAACACTAATGATTGCTTTTAATTGTCCTCGTAATTTTTATTTTCTATGAACCAAAAACATCCTTTTGAACTGAGCGAAGATAAAATAACAACTCTATATAAACTGTTGACGATTCGCTCCCTCTCAACATACTCGGAAGTAATCACCGCTCATTTTTATTACACATTTCTTATCGTTCTCATTTGCTCGCTTTGTTATTTGGTTTAATTTCCTTCTTAAAATCTCTATTTAGTTTCACCATTTGCGTGCAATTTTGATTGAAAATCACATTTATTTTTTTATTTTCTTTATTTCTCCGCTACTCTGCCCATGGACAAAAAAGAAAAACGAGGAAAACAAGGCAGGTTTTGTGTTTAACCTGGAAAGGAGGAAACTATATTTCGACTTACAAAATGAAAATGTGAAAAGCAATAGCGCTTTCAGAACTTTCTCTATAAAGACAAAACAAAACAAAGCAAACAAGCAGGAGCATCTGTATTTAATTAAGAGATACTTATTTCGCTCTTAAATTCAATAGTTACAATGAAACAAATATTGACGCCTTTTTGTGGAGAAGGACCCTTACATCTTGAACGCTTGAAAAGGGGCAGAAACCCGAACTTTCTGTTTCACCTTTGGGAACAGGGACGATTTTTCATTAACTTGTCACGGCCTCCCCAATAGATCCCGTTTACCGTCGCAAATCGGCACAAAACCCTTTATAACCTTACAGTGGAACTGGTCCCTTGCGCAAACTTTTATCACAAATTGTACGATTAAGATTTTAATTAAAAAGAATCTTAACTTAGGTAGATTCTTTGAGCTTTTGGTCCTGCCTGATTAATCACTTCGTCGAATATTTTTTGAAGGGCAGAGAGATCTCTTCAGTAGAGGGCAGCAAAGTTACAGGTAAGAGACGGTGTAGCAATTATAATAATGTCACTCGTTCGAACGCTTGTCATCATGCGGCAGATTTAATTCTGACATGAAAAATGACTCTTCCAGTGGATAACATGCAATTTTGTTTTGATAAACTTTGATTGTTACCTAGAATGAACATAAATAGTTCGATCTTTTAACTTTTGGTATCTAATGTATAAAAATTGGAACTTTCCTTAACACAAATGGAAATGTGCAGTTTGCTCTGACGCGCTGAGGCAAGATACCAATTATTACTTGAAGATTTTTTTGGCAAATGCTTTTCGAGTTTATCAAGAAAGTAGTTTTGAATGCCAAGTACAATTTTTTTTAAGGTTGTTTTATTCTCTTCCCTTTGTCAATTTGCATAAAAAATAGAAATATCTACGATATCGATGGATAAAGAACTTGGTCCATAATCCTTCGCCTTGATCGACGGACAGACAAAATAGTTCCAGCTTTCGCGACAAATTGGGTTTAACCATGAGCTGAAGAGAGAATTACAACTCTCAAGAAGTTCTATGGACACTTACACCGACAGAAAGGTTGAAAATTGACACATAGTCAACAGCACTCCCAATACAATGCCGATAAGAGTCCTGGAAATACTCAGATAAAATGTAGTTGGTTTCAAATTGCTTCTAAGAAGGGGGTTCTTGAAAAGCCCACGTAAGAATATAATTTCTGACTAAAGTTGTAGCAGCGTCAAAGTATTTAAGTCGTTTGCTATCACCTACAAATGACTTTCTAAGGCGGCCTAGAACTATGATTTTGATGACTTCAAAATAGAGGACATAGGCTAAAGATGAAAGAAGGCTTTCCAGGATGAGGAGGACCAACCATTTCAATGCCAAGAGCAACCAAAGAGGAATTTCTGCCGGCACAATCGAAACAATTTTTTGCAGCGAGGGATTATGAATTAAGATGAATGTCGAAATACAGACGTAGTTTGATGGAAAGAGAAGTTCATTTCTTGGTTCTGGAATAACATGAAAAGTATGAGTGACAATGTGAAGAAGAATTCATATCCGGATCTTACCGGTGGAAGGGTTGACAAGGGTCGTAACAACCAAAATTTTGGCTGAATTCTTCATCTGAATCCTGTCAAAGGCATTGGTTTGGTTATTTCTTTCTAATTATCTTTTCTTTTCATAGATCTCAATCACAACATTTCTGTATATAACACCATCCTTAAAAAGATGGTTAAACAGGATTGGATGATACCCAGCTCGCTCATCATGTTAGTTATAGTGGCAGCTACAAATACCGAACAGTGTCAGATTGTTTTGTTAAATCGGTGTAAAGCAGTTTACCAAGAAGCTCTGAGAAGCAGTTCTAAAGGAGAAGAGGGTCACTGCTACAGATTGCAAGTATGATAAGTCAGTTTCGTCAGCATATTTTGTAAGCCTATAGTATCAATATTCATTCATTTAAATTCCAGCTGTTCATTCGTTTTCTTTCTGTGTCCCTCATCTGTTTCATTCTATTTTTTATATACCGTCGTTACTTTCTGTCTTCCAAATTTCATGCGAAAGTCGGCACATACGGCAGTTATAGTTAAAGCTCTATTTTGAAAAGTTCTATGAATATTTTGTAGTCACCTACACACTAGCGCTTCTTGGATATGAGAAGAGGTTACCTAAGGCGCTGCAAAGTCTTTGTTTTAATCACTTTTTCTCTCAGAAAATGGTCACATGTCTTGCCAGTAATCCCAACTGTGGTGGCGAACTGATTGAAAAGTTCCGTTATTGGATGGCGCAGATGGCTATGATGGACAAGACTTTAAACATCTGCAAGGATATTAGATACGAAAATCTCAGGAGGGTGGTGCAGGATACAGGTTGGTGAAAACTATAGCAATTGTTTTGAATAGATTAATTGGTTTGTTCACCTATCAGTTTCCGATTGGATGTCGTAAAACCAAACAAAAATCTGAAAAACCCTTTAATTTCAAAGCTAATGTAATTCTGGGAGGAATCAGTTGGAGTTAAAAGTACAGCATGTTAAGTTTTGGGTTCCGGTAAAAAAGTCTACCACCTAATGACGATTCAAACCTGGCATCATTTGTGCAAGGTCGAAACATTTTGCCTATTATTGTTTTAAATTATTAAAAAACACTTCAACGAAACAACTTGACATGAATTTTGATTGTACATAGCCATTGTATCTTTTCATTTTTCCTCTCTTGTAGATGTCGCTAAAACCCATCGCCAACTGGACGATGTCGGTAATGAGCTCATTTGTGTTACAAAGTTTGGTAACGAAACAACTTATTTATGACTTTCCTTTCAATAAAGTCAGGCAGACTCCTGATAATTCCATGAATTATGTAAGGAAGCCCTTGCAGGAGTTAAGACGTGCTGGATAACGTTGGAAACCATTTAGCTAACTCATAAAAGTGTCTTCAATTCAGGAATATTTGATACACCTTGGTAATTAATTTAGTCAAGAGATTATAATCTTTTTCCAACGCTGAAATCGCCCCAATGTAGGGTTTTGGTCAGTAACAATATCATCCGGAAATTTGGGTTACTTGGAAGAAGCTTTCAATCAGATAAGCTGTTGTGTTTAAGTGTTTCATCATATGATTAGCCCCCGAAAAAGAAAATAATTCATTCAAAGCAAAAAATGGTTCGGTGTCTGAACAAACATCACTGCTAAGAACCAATCAGATTTCTGGAATCACCTGTAAATTCAAAATGTATGTAAAAATGATGAAATCAGGCTATCGAAATGATGAGCTCACATAATATATATCATTCTACCAAAGTTCACTTTCCTGATCTTTCTTAATTTTTTCTTGCAATCATCTCCTTTCTTTGACAGAGTTTGATAGTTTCGAAGAGTGTGCAGTGAGTGTCCACAAGCAGTGCGTGCTGTATTATGTGACTTTGTTGATGAACGATCACAAGATCTGTGGTGATGCAGAGAAACTGAACAAGTGCTACGACTTAAAAAGCAAATTTAGTGATTGTCAAGCTAAGATAATTAAACATTATGCCAGCATGGCTGACACGGTAGCTAAAAGAGTCATCCACTTACTAAATGATTATGACAGACCTTTATGTGTGAGCCAAATGGAGTTAAAGTAACCTCAAAGGGCAGGAGAATATTTCATAGTACACGTTCATCTGTAATTTAAATACGGATTCAATCTAATACAGCAAAATATTAAGAATATCTAAAAAATTTGGGAAACAGTTGTTATTAAAGTTAAAGAAGTGAGTCGATGTGCAGTAAAAATGGAGCGGCTTTTTTATTCTCTCTTAGCGTTGTGAAGTTGCTTTTGGTTGGATGTCCAAGGTGCAGATTTTCTCCAGCAAGGTGTTTTTCGGTACCACGCATACACTTTTGATCTGAGATGCAAAAACTGGTTTTAATTTGTTCATTCAACTTTCCATGTTTTCTTTTTCAAGGACAACAATTCATTTGTGTGACTGAAAATGGGGAAGTGGGTGACAATTTAAGTGCTCAATTAATATTTTAGCCCCCCGAATCTCTGGAGTGCTCAGAAAACGAATCTCACAGCCTCAAAAAAATGAACATAATGAACAAATAGAAGGGAATTCTTAGTCGCAACTATAAGTATTCCTGGACAGAGAAGCAAGAAATGAGCCTTTTCTTAGACAGGAGAAAGTAGGCCTCCACTAGGGTTAAGGGTTAAAGATTGAAACTGGTATTCACATCGTAAAAACGGTGATTGTGAGAAGAAGATTTGTAGTAAAGTTTGACTAAGATCACGAATGACGAGTAACAAAGATAGGAGCTGCGAGAGTGAGTTGGTTTCCCAAGATATGTACTCTTAACGTTGTTAATTGCTGTCAGATATCATAGCATCACTAAATTAGAATGAAAATGCAAAAAGCTATTTATTATGAGTATGCTATATATAATAGCATACTCATAGCTTACTTTTCATTATTATCAAGCTATTCACCTCTTTTTTTGCACTTGATTTTAAAGACTTTTTGCGAACCAGAGTTCTTTAAAACCCTACAAGGAACTCCTCTTTGACGGCTGCATGTTTCATACTTTTCTTTTGGATGAACTCCTTCTACCTCCTTTCTTCCCTGTTTTCCTGAATCCTTTTTGAAGGCTTCTATTGAATACAGCATATATTATGGGATTACCAGCTGCATTTAAATGGGAAATCCAGAAGAAGAAAAAGGGAACAGCAGCGGGAAGATTACAATAGGTAACAATATCGAAAGCAGACAAAAGATGGTTTACATGGGCAAATACCCAACAAAAGGCGAATAACGAAACAATTGAAACTAAAAGTTTGTAAATCTTTCGATTACGTTTGGCTCTCTTCGCTTGTATTTTACAGTCATTGATTGGTTTCAAGCTACTTAGAGTACGGCCGATTATGATATTCATTGTCCCTATTACAAATAAAGGAATAACGTACGTTAAAACAAACTTGACGATCTCTTCACCTCTACTCATAAATAAATGCCTTTCAAGATCTTCACTCCAAAGAGAACGACACTCAGATTTATCACTTGTCTCTCTTAATTGCATCTTATATAGGTATGGAGAGGCAGCCATGGCAGCGATGAACCAGACTGAGACGATGCTTCTTTTTACTACTTTTCTACTCATTGGTTTCTTGGAAGAATGAGAAATTGAAAAGTATCGATCCACAGACATAACCACTAAGGTCCATATTGACAAATAAATAGACAGAGTGAGAACAAAAGGAACCATTTTGCAGAGAACTTCTCCAAATAGGCCTGAAATCCAACGATGACCAACAAAAGTGAAGGAAACTGCTAATATTGCTGAGCTGAAGACTCCAATAATATCTCCAACGGCCATATTCATGATAAGATAGTTAAAGGTCATTTGAGCTGTACTTTTGCATCTACGCAGAAGTAAAAAAACCAGGATGTTTCCTATACTCGCTGTTATTAGTAAGACAACATAGGCAATTGTAAGAGATACTTTAGTGTAGAGACTTGGGCAAAACAGACCACAGTTACAGCGTAAAGGGGTTAAGGACGGGCTGCCTTCGTTGTTGTTTGACCGGTTCATACCTGTAATCGGAAAAACAGTCGACATATATTTATATATATTCTTTGTAACAAAGGGTGAGCGTAAATAAGTTGACATGCTAAGGATTCCCTCGCATAAATGATAACACGTAGCAGGCAAACCATATTGAAAGTTCTCTGACTTTTACTCTCTTTGATAATCAATGCAAAACTGGCGAAACGAAATGATTATAATTTAACTGAAAAGAAACAAAAGTGATAAAATATTATCATAACAATGCAAAAAAATATACGCTGTGTAAATTGATTTTCACAGCAGATTTCTTGTTTCAGTTTTCGCTCTTATTTCTGTCTTCAGGGTGATATATTCCTCGGCCACGAGGAATATAGGTTTAATTGTTGAAACTGTTTCTGTTTACTGTAAGCGATAACATTTCGTAGAATTGCTAACTCTGTGAGTTTGCTTTTGACCCAAACAATTTACCCTGATTTTTTGTTTCGTTATCATCCTCTTGCTTGACAATATGTTGATATAGAACGGAGAAATTGCTTCCTAGTCACTTCCAAGATTGTGACAAGGTTAATTTCCGGCGCTATCAAATGTGAGCGCCAAAGTTTGAAACATGCATAATAACCATTGTCTCTAAACCATATCCTTAAAATCATAGTTTTCTTTCTCGATATGTGCAATTGGTTAACTGAATATCTTCCTAGACAAAAAAACAAAATCATTTACCTCTAGCAAGTACAAGCACAAGATTGGAGAAGTTTCATGCGCTGTTGATGAAAGTATAATGCAAACAGAAGTTACTCAGCCAAGTAATATATTCAAAAAAAATTTGATATACTGGCCAGACGTCTTTGTTTTATTGTTATTACAAAGCTCAGTTTCATTTGATTCATACGATTGCCATTATAATTAGGTGAGACAAACCAAGCTGTAAAAACCCAAAACTAATTCTCATCGTGGGTTTCCATGGTCTCAGGTAACAAGCTACAACTATTTGCTAAAGGTAAAATGATTAATTATTCCTTATCAGGTGAAGCTTTCATATTTTTATTCAACGTTTTGACACGGCTGTTCTTCTCGATTATCGGTTGTTCAGTGATCAAAGCAAAGAAAATTGAGGTAGTATCTTGGGAAGATTGCTTTGCTCATATGCTCCGACTTTATTGTATTATCTGTAAACAATATCCTCAAGTCGAGAGACAGAATATTAAAACCACGTTGTTCATTAAAATACATGCGTTCATAAACTAAACTTAACCTTATTATAGACTCTTCTGTTTGATTTCTGAGAGACAAGTTACTCTAAGGGTGTGTTATCATAACTGATTAAGGTGATGATCTGTGAGACAACTTCGAGGTTTTCATGACTCCATCTCGACGCAGCGATTTGCAAGATACGAAAACTGCCAAATTAAGTATATACAATTGTTAAGATCTTTCTTTTGTCGTCATTACTAAATTAAAAGCGAAAAAAAATTAATTCAATTCTTGAAGAAGAGATTAACACCTGGCTGGTGAGTTTGGTGGCGGAGGAAAGACATCTCAACTCCAGAAAGGCGCTAAGCTTTGTAATTTGACTGATTCAAGTGAGCTATATCTTATTTGATGCGGAATCTGTATGTAAGACTTCCGTAAATAAATGGTCATCATTGTAATCTATTATTGTTTGACTTGAAGGTACCTTAGACAGCGTCACATGAAATAAATAAGTTTTCAACCCATACACAAATGCACATCCACACACACGCAACACAAAACTGTTCAAAATTAAGATGTAACTATCTTTAACACAAAATGCTGCAAGAAAGTTTCCATTCAAAAGCAAATCCCAATTCAAAAGCTAAGAAAATATTCTTACCAGAATCATGGAATGCTCTGTGGCGTTCGACAATTAGCGAAAACAGTAAGGATGGCGATCAAAAACTACTCACAGAAATCACCTGAATCAGAGGCCGATTGGTAATCAGTTAGATTGAGTAAACGTGTTAACTACGCATGTTTAAACGATGGAAGTTAACCACGTTTCGATCTTCCGCACGTCATTGATGTTTGGCGGTACTGATTATGATGCTGAACAACAAACAAGCTAAGTTTGCATACGAGTCTTATAAGTAATTGTAAATATATAGAAAAGAACTTGTCAAAATTTCCGGCTCATTTGCGTGCAATGATTGTGTGCCAGCAATTTGAATGTGAAATGAACCGGCAATTTAGGTATATTTCTCGGCAAAAAATTAGCAGAAGTCTGTTGAAACCATTCGTAGATTAAAGAGTCCTTTAATTTTCTATAAAAAGCAATAGAAGACTTCTCAATCATCTGTTAGCAGGTGGATGAAAAAGGAACTGCTCACGGTCTCATTATCATGTAAGGGTCACTTTTTCGTCCCAAATATGGTGAACTAAATTTTCTCAATTACTTTTTGCAAGTAAGGTATTTTTTCTTTGACAAAAAGGAGCATGTAGCAACTCCTTCGAGACGAATTCGAGCAAGACATCAGGACTCGAGGGAAAACAAAACTAACTGTTTCCCTCTGAATCATACATTAAGAGTATAAACAATCATATGGCAAAAACATATGCTGTTTTATTTGGCACACAGGCAATAACTGTGCAATTGTATCCCGGTCGGGATAGATGTGAATTTTATCAGGGACACGTGACCAAGAATCAACCAATCACAGTGCTCCTTTTGTTGAGTGAAAGGCTTGGTATATAAGAAACCACAATATTGCTGTTCCTTGAGACATGATGGTCACGCGGATTTTACGAGAGCTTGATCCAGAGGCATCTGCCTCTGGATCATTTTTCTTTTCGGGTCTCCTTAATGTTCCACATAGACGGCAGAATAGCTCATTGCATTGCTCACAAATTATTTCCAAATTTGTTGTAGAACATCGCAGTACACTTGGTACGGTTTAATCCGTTCGCGTAGTGACTCCAAGTCGACCTAGTGCAACCTGGTGCGACACGATGTACTGAACCCAACAAATCTACAACTTAAATGTATGAACCTGTAGCATTTTTTTTCGTCAGGTTGATGGTGAACGGTAAACCTTTCACCATTATCAATCCATGGTCGTTTGTCGAATCTTTTCGGATTATGGCTGCTAAAACACTAAAAAAATCCGTTCCACTTAGAGACAGTGAAGTTCAAACTTTCCTAGAAGGGGGAAAACACAAAATACAAAAAAGAAAAACCGAAAGTTTCGTATTCAATGGCTTTGGTAATTTTATTTTTTCGCAGCTGAGAACAAAAAATCGACAGCTAGAAGATTTGCCACAGGTCGATTTTGGCCGTGTACCTGAAAGATTTCTTCTGTCGGTAAGGACCAACTCAATAACTGAGAATTTTGTACATTGAAAATTAGGCCTATTGTTTGTTTTTGTTGTGATTCAACGCATGTTTTCATCTAGAGTGCGTCAACGTACTGTACGATTTGTATCCAGGGATTGTTGATCCTTTTATTTTCATTCATTAATAAAGTTGATTTTTCTTGTCAGTAAAGGGCTATTGACTTAAACACTCGAAGAGAAATTCCATATCTACATGTGCCCATGTGTTATTCTCTATATAACACCACCAGACCAAGAGTTAGGCAGAGTAGAACATAAGTCTGGACTCAGCTTATGTACAACAAGACTTCCCATATGTGTAATGAACCGATCCTTTCAGGTTCTTGTTTCCTCCTCAACGTGTCCCCCCCCCCCCAAAAAAAAAAAAAAAAAAAAAAACCTTTGAATAGTTGGGTATTCCCTATACTTTTATGTAAAATGCTCACATTGGAACTGAATTTTATTTCAACATCTGATTCAGCTGGTTTTTGCTGTTTCTTCCTTCGGACACAGGGTTTTACTTCCTAAATTAAGTTTAAAACACTGGGGTGCTGGCCATACATTAACATTAAAATTGAAGGAAAATTGAAGAAAAATAGAAGCAAAATTATCTTTGACGTATGAGCAGATATTTAGAGTTTAATCGAATTGGATGTCTTTACAGGAAAATGACTTCTAATAGCGCTTTCGCCGGAGAAACTTCTTAGTCGAGCAGCACCAAGCATGTATGTTGGATGTTTCTGGAAAATCTCGAGCACCTCTTTCAACGGCTTTCGTGCCTAACAATGATGACCACGATCAAAGAGAGCGGTCTCCGGGATATTTGTTCGTTCTGGACAAGAAATCTCCACTCTGTATGAAAATAGCTCTAAATAGAGAGAGCAGTACGGGCTAAATAAAACTACAATAGATTTCAGCGGAATTAAAAATTTACTCTTTGCAATGTTATGACAGCAAAAGAGGGCTGAGGAAATAAATTACATTATCTGTAGAAATGGTTTTTTCAATTTTTCCAAACTCCTACGAGGAAAACTTTTAAAGAAGCATACGGTAAGATAAATCTTCGCGAGACAAATGCAGGGCGGAAGTGATTCCTTGTCTTTCTGCGGCCTTTATGTCGCCCATTGGATTAGAATTTATCTTCAAAAACCTTACCCCACGAGTATAATTACAAAATTGGACGGTTTTATGAAAAAACTTGTAGACTTTGAAAAACATTTACTTTTGCCGGTAAACATCTCGTTTGAAAGAACACCATAAATGTACTCATTACATTGCAAAATGACAAATGACAAATGACAAATCTACTTAAAGCGCTCTAGCTATTAAAAGCAAACATAAAGAAATGAACAGCAACAGCCAAACAGCAGTCTAATCCCACCTTCAAGGTAAGTCAGCTCCGAAAATTTAAAGCTAAAAATTTTGAGGTTTATTAATTCTCTTTTGGAAAAAAATGACTCCTTGTACACTAATTTGCGAGTAGTGGTAAAAATACGTCTTTCAAATTTGCGGCTACTACATTAGGAAACCCCCTCAAATTTGCAATAAATGGGAAGCTAGAGGAAACGTTGATCGCCTTCGAACCCATGCACATCACGGCAAAGATTCTGCTGCGCTACACTTATCAATCTACCGTGCGAAAAAATAACTTTGCTAAGGGTGCATTTGTCCAAATGGAATTAATAGCTCTGCTATAGCATACACAATGATCCCATATTAGTTTTCTTTCAAAAAAAGTATGAACTTTATTGAAAACAGAAGCGAAGACGCCGTTGAAGTGGTCGTATTGGCTTGATTCTACAAGGCCAACTCGACGCCATGGTAAAGCAAACATGGCTTGCACGCATGTATTCATAATCTCAACTTTCCATTTCCGAGAAAAAACGCATTAAAAAAATTAGAAGACATAACTTAAAAGGAGCACTTAGGAGAGAAATAAGAGTCGCTTGCGGCCTTACCTCAAGCATCCCTCACAAAGAAAAACTTATGCATGGTGAGCGTGTAACAATAATGTACCTTGAGAATAAATCAATCGTCAAATGTACGATCGATCAAGATAAATAAGCGCCACAGTTCTTCAGCGCAGTTGATATCATATTGAGCGTTTATTAAAACACCTGAGTGTTTCGAAAATCATTTAAAATTTTTATGTCATCTGCTACGTGTATTGCTGATTCATTTCGAAGAATGAGGAGAAGACAACCTTTTTCAAGGTTGTGTCTTCGAACAGAAAGCGAAGCATGGGGTGGATGCTATGTGACTGATTAGTCAACAGGATGCCAAGGAAAACGTCAACTTCTTGAGGATCAATTATATTATCAATATGGAGGAATTTTCATCATGATAACGACCATTGTAGAAAAGACAGAAAACTGACTCTTTTCAATGTCACAGGTGGTAAGTAAAGCTGCGTAGTGCTCACCTCATTTTCCTGTAATTGTATTTTTTATTACTTCGGCAGCTTTTTTTGTTAAAGGTAAGGCTGATATGCCTCTACCGATCTGAATCTATAGTGTAATTTCAAGGCAAAATTTAGGAAGTTACCCTTAAAAAATGCTACTTCCAGGCTATCTTCGATATAAAACATCGTTCCTCACTCATACGCACATAGAGAGTAAAAAGGTATCTTTAACAAATAAGAAAAAGAGGCATTTTCAAGAAACCTCAGTTAAGGACTTCGTTTCAGCCAAGTTTGATTATAAGTGTTGAATTGGCAGGTTCCAGAGAAATCGCTAATTCTTGATCTCTCATCGACATTAGTCCAATCAGTTTGGATAGCCGATAGGTAAATGAGTATCAGAAGGTGATCACAGATTGTTCCTCTAAATCTTCAAAAATCAGTGAACACTTAAATTAAAGAATCTTTTTGGGATCACGCTTCACTTTCACTTCATTCTATTGCGGTGTAATAAATTGCCTGTTGTTCATTTCATCGTCTTTAATTCTGGTTTAATCTGTTTGTTGTTTCGTGAAAAGTCGTAAAACGGCCGTAAGGCCTCCTTCTAGCATCCGGTTTATTAAATTTTGGAAGATTTAAGTTAAGTTTATGCAGGAACTCACTTTATTTTTCAATACCAATAAAGGAAGCCGACAGCACGTCCTTTTCCTTCTTCAGTGGGGGCATACGTTTTTGGGCGTTCAAAAGAACTCTTCTGTTTGCTAATTAAACACTTCCCAGTGCGATAATATTTTTTCTTTGCATACTATATAAACCAATTTGCTTCTATTACTATTAAACATTTCTAACAGTTAAAACTGATCCTCAAAGATTAGATAAAAATATCTGTTCGTAAGTAAAATAAGTAAAATTAAACGTGCTCTTTCCTTCCTCAACTGAGATTATCATTGAATTGATAAAGATTTTTCGCCGCATACTGTGGGTTCGAATTCTTTGAAGCTACCCGACAAATGAAATAGAAATGCAAATTTTGCCTTTTAATAATGTTAAGATGTCAGCCGATAGCGATGTTTGCTGCTCAACACAAAGGCAATCATCAGAAGGATTGCAGAGGAACATATCAATTGATATAGCAAATCTCTATTTCCGTTCACGCCACGTTTTTTGAGATCGTTTGAGAGAGTGTCTTGATGGAAACAAAGGTACTTCTGAATTCAACATGCTCGATTGCGCCGAATATATTTAAAGTTTAACATCCTTTCTTCTATGTAAGGTATTGGTTTTTCTGGAAGAAACTACATCTACTAGACTTATAATAAATTAGTTTTGCTGGAGCTTTAGGCTTCGAAAGCACGACATTACGCGGTATTTTACTCAAAAAAGAGAGGTAGGAGAAACCAATCTTTTCACCCAGAATAGAAAAGGAAAAAGGAAAATCTATCGAGTGAATGCATTTTACGAGTCAGGTTAACAAGCCATGAGATGACGGGGATAAAAATACTACCAACAAAACAGTAGGGTCCTTTTAACTTCAGTTCTTGAGGAAAATTCTGGTTGAGACATTAAAATTGTTTACCTTGCCTTCAGGTGATATTATTGATATAAGACTATTGCATTAAGTGGAATTCATGAAATTAACATGTTGTGTTAATTGTTCGGAAACCGTTTTATCTTAGTTTCAGTAAGGAAGCCAGGACCTCCCTTAAATTAATAGGAAGTCGTAAAATAAGTTCATATCAGAAAGTCAAAGCCTCCATCGTCATAATTATTACCTGAACAACAATTGTACCCTTCTCTAGGCGAAGACTGAACCCTAAAGGTGAGTTTTTCTTCACACGAAAACCGTGATGGAAATCAATCTGGCGAAAGTTTTCCAATTAGCAAACAAACGTAAATTTAGCACGGTTTCAGCCTAAGTACCGCATAGCCAGTACAAAAAGTGAGCTTTGATTGTAATGTAAGTACACGGCAGAATGTTTCTGTTGTAATGATATTTGATAAAGCCTGTCAGTCGGTTTCACAACATCACTAAAAACATAGAAAAACGTTATTTTGTGGAATGAAATAATAGGCTAAGGTATTCAGCCGTTATTTTAAGCAGTTTAAGTGGTGAGTCCCTGAACCCTTTGACACCCAGGAATGGTCAAGACAGAATTTCTCCCATCAATATCAATACAATATCAAGCAGAAAGGAGATGAAAATAAAAAAAAAAAAAACTAAGGGGTAAGTAGTTGATCCAATACTAAATTCTTCGAACTACCAGTATATGAATGGAAAGGCAGACTGTGAGAATTACTAATGCGATCTTTGGAGTTAAAGAGTTATATTCCCTTCTGAGATTCTCTTTAGCCATATTGAATGCAACTGTATCCAGCTCTGAGCATTTAAATGGAACGAAAATCTACCATGCCAAATCTTTCTATCAGCTACGCTGAGGGAAATGGACAGATGTATATAACCCACTACTTGATGTGTCATTCTGTTCGTACATAGGAATAAGCTTTAGTTGCCAAGTTTCTTTGGTCAGGATGGCTCGATGTTTGCCAAATTGTTTTTCGCAATTTTTTATGGACTATGAAAAAAGATTTGTATTTAGCCCAGAGATTATATACTGGAAAAAATAATCCGCTCGATAACCTCAACTTATTATAGGCTTCATTCCATTCAGTTGATTGAGGACGCTGTGCAACAGCCTGGATTTGTGAATACAGGGTATCACATTGTGGAAAACATCCAGTACTGAGGGTGGGTGGTACCTGGAACAACTCGACCAAATTGGAAAGCAATCTAAGGGGCCATTCGAATATTCTTTTCCATAAGTTATGATTAATTATTATAATTATCATGAGATTGGTTACGTAACAAGTTGATCACAAAATTCAAGACATCCCTTTTTTTCCTAGGTTGTCAACTGAAAGCCATGAATAATACAAGTCATTCTAACACCACTCTTGTCGAAGAAGAATTCGATGATGGGCACGGCGAAAACTTGAAAGAGGTCGATAGAATAATTATGATCGGTGCATACGCCTTTATTTGTCTGTTTTCGCTGGTGGGAAACTCGCTTATCATACATCTCGTGCGCACCCGCAACAACATTCGAAAGAACGCATTTAACTGGCTTCTCTTCAACACGGCTGTTGCTGATCTCCTGGATGTGACAACTTCCACTGCCTTCACGTTGCCAGTTTTCTTCTGTGGAGACTGCTGGATATCAGGGGTTGTAGGGTCCATCCTATGCAAACTCACTCCTTTCCTGTCTGTCGTCTCCATCTGTGTGTCCATCTGGACTCTCACTGTCATTGCCGCTGACCGGTATTTGGCTATCGTGTGTATCCGAAGAAGGCCGTTATCACCTCGATCGGTGGTGCGCTCTATAGTCATCGTGTGGTTGCTTGCAAGCTTGATATTTAGTGGGGAACTTCATAAACATAAATTGATAGAGGAAGAAGGTGAGTCTGCCGAGTGTACCACTGAATGGCACGAAAACAAAGAGCTCGCACAAATTTTCGAGGAAGCAGATATGATCGGTAAAGTCGTCCTCACTTATGCAATACCACTTTTTATAATGGCGGTCTTGTACTCGTCAATTGCATACTTCCTGTGGAAACAAAGACCACCTGGAACTGTCAATCAAGAAGCGTATACCAGGCAAAAGAAGAAGCGCAATGCAATCATTAAGATGTTGCTTATGGCAGTTGCCGTGTTCGCCATTTGCTGGCTTCCTGCACATGTCGCCCACATAATGACAATCTTTTATGGCGACATTTACGATAATATTCCCATAGTTGTCCATGGGCTGTTTTTCTGGTTTGCGCATGCCAATGCAGCAATTCATCCCTGGCTATTCATTGCCTTTAGCGAAAATCTGTGGAGTGAAGTGAAAGGAATCTTTTACTATTTAAGAAAAAGAGGCCCTTTTAAGAAAACTCAGTCAAGAACCTCGTCACAGCCAAGTTTGATTACAAATGTTGAGTTGGCGGGTTCCCGAGAAATCGCTCAATCTCGATCTCCCGTCAACATCAGTACAATCAGTTTGGATACCAGATTGTGAGAGGGAAAGCTGTTAAATGTACTTTTCAAGATAATTTAGAAAGTCCTCAAGTGCTTCTCATTACATCAGAATGATGAGGACTATGAAGACGTTTTCATTGAATTGTAGTTCACTATAGGATTACTTATTATTATTATTATTATTACTTATTACTTATTATTGAATAAGAATATTGAAGAAAAATAATATTAAAGAATAAGATTAACAGCACCATCACTCGATGCAGCGTGATATCACATTCCCAAGCACTTTGTAAGTCCTCAAAAATCCCAGATAAACGCTTCCTTTTGGGAGTCCGAAATCTGATGGTCCTTGATAAATAAAATGAAGTGCATGGTGCTGGTAAATGCAAGAAATCAAAAGGATCCATTGTCATCCACTGGTCCAACGGGGGTGGAAACCTATTAGAACTGAATTAAGATCAATTAGCTAATACATAAAGGACAGACTGGGAAAGAAGCACTTCGAAAGTAAAGTAAGTTAGTTGTGTATGATACCGTATAACTAGAAATACAAAATGCCCTTCATAATAAAAATACATAGTTTATGTGTTAATCAAACATTACTGTAGTTTGCGCGCAGGCAAAAAATAGAATTTCCATGTCAATAAACCGAAAGGTTTTAAAGATAAAAAAGCCAGTGTTATAGGGGTATAGATATAGTTCTGTTTTGTGAGTTCAGCATGTGCACTACAAGTGTTAAATAAATTATTATTCCTCGTTGAGGGATGTATTCCTTGTTAATCCGCGCAACGAGCGATGCGGCATGATTCATTCGCTCAAAGTAGTTGTAACCCTAACAAGCCTAAGGGTGGTTAAGGGTTGCTAGCACTTACTAAAGGTGTTACCCCAGACTAAGGAGGGTGGGAGCGTCCAACTTCCTGTGGTGGGCTGAAGCCCTTGCTTATCATACCCTTTGCCCATTTATATTATTATTGTTATTGTTATTATTATTATTATTATTATTATTATTATCATCATCATCATGATTACTATTATGTTAATTATTTTATTATTATTAATATTATCATAATCAGTATTTTTATAGTCCTAACAGGTTTACATTCTTAGCTTCGATAACGGGTCTTCCATACCATTGCCTATCCATCAGATCTCCATGACCTCAGATCAACTCACTTTCCGTGAGATATTTGCGGCTTCGAGTAATGAAAATCTATGAAAGACTCTCCTATTACTACCGAGATTACAGGATTTTTTCCTGTTCACCATCTTTTCAATTTCCATCCTATCGCCCTGTAATGATAACAATAATGATAATAATAATGATAATTATCATTATCATCAGAATCATTATTATTATCAATATAATTATTGGATAGTATACTTTGAAAAGTGTTTCATACTAGCTTCAACTATTTGCGAAGTGGCCACTCACCAATGGGAATACGATTGTACAAAAGTTTAACTCCTTAGGTTATCACTTGAAAACGCAAACCTCAAGATCGATTTAGTCAAAGCTGCAACTCATAGCCAGGAAAGGTTTTTGAACAGTTAAAAATTGCTATTTTTGTTATTTTTAAACTACGTCGCATTATTTGCGCTGTTTCAGTTTAAGTGCTGAAGTTAAGAGTTGCATCAGCTCAGCGGAGAAGATGGCCTGATTTTTTAAAAAGGAAAACGCGTATCACTAAAAGTGCCAGGGCAACTTGAAGTTTGGTGTCCAAGTTACACTTTAAACTCAAACTTACCTTAGCACTTCATAATTGCAGCGCTATTGAAGTGTGTGCTTAAATACCTTTTCATGCATGCAATCTTGACACTTAAATTATTGTCATGTCGTTTGTAAACTTTGGAGTTTCTGTGCGAAGATCAAGGTAGAGTAGTTTAGCACTGATGGCCTATACAAATATTTCTCGTAGCATTTTTGCAGGTTTCAACTATTTAACGAAAAAACTAAAAGAGCCTATGAACATAAAGATCGCTACTGTAATTTGTTCAATCGTTTGAGTGGCATTTCTAATCTTACTTTTTTTTATTCCGTTGACACCATTGGATGATTGGATGACACATTCGACTGCGCCTCGTGTGCCACTTTTTTGTTCTTACCAAATTTTGACGTCCTCTGTGATCTATTACTGAACAGAAGCACGGCAACTTGGAATCTATTTGTTTTATATAATAAAGAATTATGACGTCATCTTTACGTCTGTCCTCCAATAGATCATAAGTGAGAACCAACCAGAATGCGTGCATAACTGAGCTTATTACATAAAGTGACATAAAGTTTTGGTTAATATAGTGAGAGAAAAAGGCAAAATTTACCGTGACGGTGTAACCACGTTAAAGGATATTACTGATTTACAAGTTCGCCAGTGGAACGAGCTGAGAAAGAACCAGTTTAAATCACC